CGTGAGCCGGAGGGGGATGTTGTGGCCTGATAAAATATCACCTTTTCTAGTACCTCATTCAAGACGGCACTGGGAGAGTGCACCTGCCTGAATATCCTCACTACATCCTGGTAGGGCAATCGCTGTGGCTTTCAGCCTGGTTGTTCTCAGTTGATTGTTAATGAATAGTGCAAAATTCGCAGATGAAGTGTTAAAGACTTGGGACCTTTGTTTTTTGTCAAGTTGTCCTTGTTGCGCTGTGGTTTTTAGTTTCCCTTCAGACAGGTAATGTCCTTCCTTCATGCCTTTTCCAAAAAGCCCTGCAGGTGCGCTCCTCCCGGGGTCGTAGCTGGACACTCACTTCACCTGTCCTGTTGAATGGCGGGGGTAGAAACAAGAACGACGCTGCCCTTGCTCCGGAGCGGGTTCCCCTTCCCTTGCCTGCGTCGGATTGTCATCACAGAAGCACGCCACTGCCTTCGGCTTTCTGCGATTTGTGTTTTTGTCAGCAGTGTAACCATGGTGCTGCTCAGGAAAACCTTGCCTCAATTAAGGCTGGTAAAACCAGGAGGGAAGTTGTGTTTTATTGTCTGGATCTTGGTTTGCTTTGTCCATTGTCCAGCTCTAGTCCATTGGGATCACAGGTTTTAGCAACTGGCCTTGTTACTCCTCAGTCGGATTCCTGTGTGCGCCAGCCCCTGCCTGCTTCCCTGCACCCTAGGACGCAGGTTATAACCCAGCCCTGACACTAATTGGCACTTCCTATTTTTCCCTGTATCATCCCGATTGCCTGCGGCCACAACAGCATCTGCTGGACATCCTGCCCCTCTGTGAACCCGTTTTCTGGGTCTGCTCTCATAAAGCACGAGGTGCTAGAGTGACCAGTGCAGGATGAGGAGTGCTGCCAACAGAGCAGCATCTGGAAATGGATATACCAGTTTACACCAGATCCATTTGCAGGATCTAGTCCTCTCGCTGTGCCCCGTCTCCCCACTCATCAGGAAACACTGCAGGCCTGTAAAGTAGTGACTTTGGGGAAGTGGCTGTCCAGCTGAAGCTGTGAAGGAGAAGGCTTTTTAAATGCCTTGGTTCAGAGTGGAGTTCTCGACATGTTCAAGTTGCAGTCTGCTGTTGTTTTTAACCTTTCATATGATCTCTGGAGTCGGGGCTCGTCCGGTGAGTGAAGCGCATTGGGATGTGACGTTGCTTAACACACACAGTCAGGAATCATTTTCCCGTAGTTGCATGTGAATCGGCGCAGCCAGGGACTTCTGGACGATAAACCGAGCGGTGCTGGAATCGGCGGCACTGCGAATTACGATTGCAGCCTTATGTCCATATGTGAAAGTTGTGACCCTGCTTTGCACCAGAACAATAAACCCTTGTTGTGCAGGTTCATCCCCTCTCCTCATCTAACACTTTATTAATGAGATAATAAACCCCTCCTTTGGCTTCGCTGCCCTTGGGATAAGCAGCTCCAGACCCTAGGTTTGGCGACTCCCTCTGTCCTCAGGTGGGTTAATGAGATGTACCCCCCACGGCGAATCAGCAGAGATTAATGGGCACGTCCTTGCACAAAGTGGAAAGGATTTTTCTTTTACCTGGAAGGACCCGTCACACTTTCTACAGCATCGGCGTGAGATGTTGAACAATCCCACCCACGTGTAGCGGAAAGCATTAGCTCCAGCCACGGGTCAAAGTTGATGGCTGTGGGACAGGCTGAGATGTTGGAGTGCAGGGGTCGAACCTGAGACTATAGTATTTCCCTAAACGCCAGGGTTTCTTGTTCTTCTCATACGTGGCGGTCTCGCGGACAACTTTAGGAGTTCACTTTTTACACCCTTTCGATCAGCATTCTCTTGTCAACTGAGCGGCGGTTTCCTTTTTATCATCAAAATGGGAGTTGATTGATTCATTCTGCAAATGCTCTGCCAGCTATTTGAGCTTCCTTCCTGTCATCAGCAATGAAACGGAGCAAAGAAAAATAAAACAGAGTTTGTATCAGATCAGCACAGAGCGGGGAGGAAGGGGCAGGGTGACTAGTCGCAAAGCCACAGCCCGACTACTGCCCTGGCTAGCAGCTTGTTGACTCTCCCTTGTAATTACCGTACGTCTTGGACTTACATTTCCAGACAGTAATGTTCTGTGCTTCACAACTGAATTAGAAACTTGCTTAGAAACTACATTGTTGTTGACAGCTCATGGCTTTACTCAGGGCATCTCTCTTTGCAACTCCTGCTTAAAAATGCCGGTCTTCAGCTGCAGTCACCCTGCTCTGTTCACTGCCCAGGGCCCTCTGCCAAACCCTCTTCTTCCTCCCTACGTCCGTGCACCTGTGGGTCAAATGAGAAGCCAGCCCTCGACTGCCCATCACGTCGAGCCTTCTGCAGAGCTAAGGGGCAGGTACCGTGCCGGGCACAGCACGCAATGCTTCATTTCCTGGGGTGCTCTGCTTTTCTGTGCTGCGTTGACGAGGAGGGTTTGCTCATCACGATGCTGTTCATAACATGCTGCTCCAATTCTGTCCCTGCTGTGAAGCGATCAGATTGTGCTTCGTGCAATGTCTGTTCAAGAAGATGATGGTGATAATACACGTGGGTGGCGATGGATCGGCCAGCCTGCGTGCAGTTCGTTAGCTCCGTCTTTGCAGTTACACGTTTCACTGGCATCCTACCCATCTCAGATGAATATCTTGGCAATTCTTTACTTTTGTCTCACTTTTATCGACTCATTTCTCACCGTGGCTGGCTGAATGAGAGGCATTTGGTTCAAGGGACTGGACTGGGTCTCAGGAGAGCTGGGTTCATGGTATCCTCTGACACTTCCAGCGTGTCTTGAGCAAGTCGCATAATCTTCCGGTACCACGACTTTGTTAAACGGAGCGTCTTTTTCCCTATTCCATCAAGGAGTTGTGAGAATAAATTCATTAGTGCCTGTGAGATAAATAGCAGTGAGTGGTCTCAGGATAAATGAATACCTGTTATAGGTTTGGTTGACTTTGGGATGATGGTATGGCAGGGTTCCTCAGATCCCGACCGGCTTTAAGACTCAACTCAAGTGAGCAAGTGTTGTGGCTTTATCTTGCTTATGCCAAGCATTTTCAGTTTTGGGTTTTGGTCAAGTTATATCCATCAGGGCTAAAAATATCTTGGAGAACAAAATTCTTTTTTCTCCCTTTTTTTTCTTTTGGCTGAGGGATAGGAAAAACTATTGAGCTGACAGTCCAGAGCTGGCTTCTCACTGACCCCCATATGAAGTCAGCAGAGATGGCAAAGGACAGTGATGTGCTTCAGTCCAGAAACACTGCATATTTTCAAACAGGGAGTCTTTTCAGATGGCATTTTCTGGCCTAGTCCCTGAGCCATTTATTATTTTCAGAGTCCTACTGGAATTAGACCAAGCAAGCCATGATGCCCTTTCATTTCGGCACCGCCACCTTGTCGTTGACCCTTTCTGGCTCCAAAGGCAGCCCCGTATCGAAATCGAGGGGAGATTTGAGCACGGTCCCTACACTGCATACCTGAGTGACTTCATTGTCTGTGCATGCATCACCGAAATAACACAACTTGCCTCTCGGGAGGAGAAACAGTTTGTTTAGATGAGAATATCTGTTGGTCATTTGTTAACACGAATAGCAGAAAGCTCTGCCTGCTGGTCATAGTTTGGAGCCGGAAGAGGTCAGAGCCATGTGGAAGCGGGCAATGAAAAAGTCCCGTTAGCTGCGTTCACTGGGACTGGGCTGAGCAGATTGGATAATGTTTTTGAGCAATATATGTTAAGGGGTCTTGCATGCACCTCTGACCATCCAGCTGAGTCGTACACTTGCAAACCTCAGAAAAACAGAGCGTGATCGCTTCCTAAATAGATGCTGCTGTAGTGATTTACGTGCTTGAAGGTTTCGAGACCTGAATGGGGCCGTCTCTGCTTCTGGGTGCGTCCTGAGAGAGTTGGGTCCAAAACCCGGCCTCTTCCCAACAAGCTAGGACCCAAAGTCCATAGCTGACTACTCTGCAGTCAAAGCAGCCAGACCAAGGATCTTTTTTGGGATGAGCTCCCCTGGGTACCCACAGGTCTGCACCTGGAACGAGGGTTTGAGGGTTGCGTAGTCCAGAGGCAGCCACTGCATTTAGGCCTCAGTTGGAAACAGATAGCATGAAACCTCCCTAGTTATCTTTATGATGCAACAGCAGCTGCCTTATAACCGTTGCTTACATCCTGTGTTCGAATTGCTGTGGAAAAACAGATGCCTCGTCCTAAAGCTGGATGCAGACCAGCCCCCTGGATCTGAATGTCCTAGGATGCAGGTCCAGAGCAGAGTTTTGCAAGTGCTGCTGTCTCTTTAATGGCTCGAACCGAAACCCCGGCTCTGAGCATTCCCAAACTTCAGCGTGTTGGAAATCCAGACATCGAGCTGAGTGTCCCCCCCATCTCAGTTTGACCCTACATCTGCCCAATTCATCTCTGCAAAGACCTCTTTTGGCCTGCTTTTTCTCTCTCGGCGCACAGGATGTGCAGTCGGCATGGTGTTCTCAGCCTCCGGCTCTCCGGAGAGCTGCGGCGTTCAACTCCTTAGCCCCCTTGCACGGTAGATCATGACTAAATCCCTGTTTTAATGTAGCCCCTTCCTCTCCCACCCCTACACACGTTTTGGAGGCAATGTAGTGGGCGAGGAATATATTTTAGCACGGCTGGATTGAGCCATTAGGACTCTGGGGAGCATGAGGCCCCGGGGGTGCAGCTCCTGTAACTTCCTGCAGAAAACGCCTCCTTTTGATGCCCACCTCCCTATTTTTTCCTGCAGTATACATGCCGCACAGTTCAGCTGATCAGATTATGCAGACTAGACAGGCTTATCATGCCATCTATCCAGCGTACACTTGTGCTCTGAGGTCTGGAGGAATACGTCCGGGAAAGGACCCCTTCCCTGCCTTGCTAAGAGCACGGAAGCCCTTTGCATCGCTGAGCTTGGGTATTAATGATTCCTCTTGGTCCGATGGAAATATAATATTTCTCTTTCCCCTGAGCAAGCAAGTGTGCATATGTGTGTGCGTGTGTGTGCTGAATGCCAAAAGCCCTGGTGAAGCCAGCTTGCTTCCGTATGTGAATCATTTCTCAAGCAGCTCTCTGTGTCTCGTTGCAATGTGGTTTTCCTCTCAGGGAAGCGCTGAAGCCCTGAATTCTCAGTCTGGTTTGCACATGCTGTCAGAGGCTAGCGGGAGACGGTTTTCTTTTTAATACGAGGAGGAGAAAAGCTTTCGCTGTAAGTATTTCATCCTTTTTTCTTTTTTTTTTTTTAATCGGTAAGGTGGGAATTAGATGATCTCTAGCAGGGTTTTGTGGAGGGAGGTGCATTCTTAAAGCAAGCCGGACCTCTTTTGCTCAACACCTGGCTGTAATGTTGGACTCTAATTAATACTAGATTGGATGAAGCTGTAGAAAATGTACCGCGGGGAGCAGTCCTGCATTGGCAGGGAGTGGGACTGGATGACCTAATAGACATTAGCAATAGAAAACAAACCTGTGATCTTTGCAGAGCTAGCTACTGTATATGCTTCTGCTGAGCTGCATAGAGTTATTGACGGAGAGAGGACTAAAGCTGTCACGGTGCCTGCCTCTGCTTGCTGCTCTCCTTGGAGCGAGGGAGCGTGTTCCAGCAGCTGCATCAAACGGGAGAGCTAACGGGCTTCCCCTATGCTTTTCGGAGCCCAGAAAGGGCATGAGAGGAGCAGGCTGCTGAGCAAACGGGCTCAGGAAAAGAAAAAATTGGCAGCCAGCTCCTCTGCAGTGACAATCGGGTGGCACGCAGGAGCCATACCCTCTCGTGCCACCTTGGCACGGGGCTGTTGAGCATCTCTGTAGGAACCTCTGATTTCAGCAGCGTGGTAACTGGCTGTACAGATGTGCTCCGGGCTGAATCTGGATCCTAGCAGCAGTCGCAGGTACGGTGTTCAGCATTTACATAACACGCGGCAGGTTTGCAGAGCTGTACAAATGCTCGTTAAGCTGTGTGTTCATCACAGAGCGGCACTGGATGGCAAGCCAAAACCTCTTCCCTCGTTATGCCCAATCTGCTTTTTTTGTTGCATGTGCCGCTTAAACTGGGCTGTTTTACTGGCGTGCTCTCTGCCTACAAACTGGAAATCGTTCTCTTACCCATTTGGGTCTGCGGTGAGGAGGGGCTATTTGACTCGTTTCAACCCACTGTTCTCCAGCAGCATGCTCTGCTGGCTATTTATTAAGAGTCGTCCTGTCTTCAGTGCGTTTCTGTCCCAGCCCAGACCCCCTACCCTACTGCTTGGTTCGCCAGTGGCTCCATTATGCAGCCCCCCACCCAGAACTGGGCTTTCAAGTCCTTGGAGACCCACAGGTCACAGTTTGCAAAGCAAAGGCACCGCCGTTTGAATCCAGCCAACGCTGTCCGTGTGCGGAGTAAGCATTAAAAAAAAATGGAGAAGTGTCGATGTTTCTCTTGCAATTTTAGGATATGCAAATGGCTTCCTCTCGCCAAAGAGACCCCGCAGTCTCCTACAAGTTCACAGTGCTGCCTGTTGATGATCATTTCAGAGTTAAAGGGCCAAGTGTATTCACATTTTAAAATAGGCTGCTGCGTGCTTTTCTAGAGCACAAATGTCTCCTTTCAGAACTCGGTGCTGTGGGGGGGTTGGATGGAAATTAGGCACAGGGACCATCCACCACATGACGGGCCAGGGTTATTCACCCGTGCTCTAGGAGTGGGAGAGGCTGACTTGCCTTCTTATTTGTGCTTCTCTCTCTCTTCCGAGGGACTCCTTAAGGCACGTGGGTGTTTCTCCCACATCAAAAGCTGATCTTCAAAACAGGCTTTTCAGTGGCTGAGACGTATCCCCGTTCCACAGATGGTGAATTACAGTAATTCATAGGCAGGCTACACGACTTGTCCAGGGTGGCACAGGATGTCTCTGATGGAGCTAGAAATAGCTGGCCCATGCACCACATGGAAGAGAGCAGCTGGGCTGCTTTGCCTGGTGCACGTAGTGCTTGGGATTAGTACGTACTCGCCTGCTGCGTGCGGCTCCCCATCTAGAACGCGTGGCAATTCCTTTCCTCCCTTCTGAGCATATGCATATCTGCCCCATGTGCTACAGGATAAGGGTATGACAAGGCATTGCTGAGCAAAACAGTGATGATTCTTCCCTTTTCTAGCCGTTATGCAGCTGCGGCCGGTGTAAAGAGAGCCGCCTTCTCCTTATTGTGGGCTAGTAAAACATACAGTACTAACCCTGTGCATTGCTAGGATGGTAGTCCAAAGAAATGGGCTCTGATGACTCCCTTACCCCAATGTTTTTGCAACCTGCCTATGTTATACTTCAGGGAAGTTAAACCTTCTGCTCCAGCCGGGGACATGTCAGGGAAAGCTCAGAGCGGCTTCGCTTTTTTGTTTTTAAGGTTACAGCCTGGCTTTTAACTTCCGGCAGCTAGGAGATTTGGAATCCAGGTATGACTTTCCACCTTCCCGTCATCTTTTTTTGCCTTATGTCACTGAACAGGGATAACGTTCATCGTATAATCTGAGACGCCTTCAGCCTGGGGGCCTGAGCGGAGCTGAGCTGACGCGGGACGTGCAGCTGCAGAAGCAGTGTCTCTTGGCTTCTGTGGGATGAAACTGCCTCCTGAATGTAGTCTCTTGTGCGCTGTGATTATGTTTGGCATAAACCGTATAGCCTTGTTGGCTGCACGCAGCCACCGCAGGCTCCGGTACGCACCATTGCATCCTGCCTGTGTGCACGTGCATTCACACTAAGGCAACTTGTTTCCCCCCCCTCCCTCGTCATGCTTTATCGATGCTGTATTGCTGCATTCCTCGTGTGCCTCTGTCAATACTTAGCTAGCACTATGTTCAAATGCAAAACCTTGCCCCGGAGTAAGAAAAAGATTATACCAGCCTCTTGTTCAATCCAGCACTTGTCATTTCTTAACCAGGTCATGTAAACACGATGGCCTATTTGTACAGAGAGCCAGAAGTGGTATTTGACTTCTGCTCTAGCAGATCACCATGCAGCTGGTGGTTGCCGGCTGCCAAAAAGCTTTGCCAGCTTGTCAGGCTTTTGTAGCCTTATCGTGACTATCAGATGATCAGGCTGGAGAGACGGACCCACTCTGACAGGGTAGCCTGGGTTAGGTAATCGGTGGCGGTGAGCGAGGGGAGGTGCTGCATGTCTGCGTAGAAAGGGGATTACTGAAGTTACTGGAGGGGAAAACTCCTAGACGCTTTGAAATAACCTTTTGGCTTGACCCTCAATTGCTCTGCTAGGTGATGTGTAGACTTCTCATCCAAGACAGATCCATGTGTTCTAGCTGATGAGCAGGAAACTCTTTTTTTGCATCCCATGGTATGGGCAGGAGTGGAATTGAACACAAGAGAAATCAGACTGAATCTATCATAGAAAACGAGGGTGGGACAGGACCTCAGGAGGTCACATCGAGTCCAACCCCTTGCCTTGCTCCAAGCAGGACCAGCCCCAACTCAATCATCCCAGCCTCTTGTCCATATATCCCCCATGCCCTTGTACAGAACGAGGCGTTTGGTTCCTTTCTTGCGTCCAGCTGGAAAACGGGATGTATTTGGGAACAAGGAGTTCATACGTTGCAGGCTCGCAGGAGAAGCTGTGTAGAATGGGAGTGCGCAGAAGGCCTCCTCCGTTGCCTGCCCGGCCGTGTCGGTAAAATCACGGATGACCCCCTGGTAGCTGAAGGAAGGGTATTTATACTAGGTACAACACTGAATCCACCCAGAGGTGTATAGGGCCTAGAAGTCTTGCTAGGATGGCTTATCTTAGTTGATACCTACCCTTTACGGTTACTTAGAGTTTTTTCTGCCCACGCTGTCCTTGATTGTGATGTACAGGCACTTCCTAAGGGTCCGTGATGCCCTTGGAAATAGATTTCATAGATTTCATAGACATTAGGGCTGGAAGAGACCTCGGAAGATCATCGAGTCCAGCCCCCTGCCCAAAGGGCAGGAAGTCAGCTGGGGGATAATAATATATTAAAATAAATACTCTTTTAAGGATAAATGATGGAAAGAACATGATCAGCCGTAAACACACAAAAGATAAACGACGTCTGGAGACTTGGCAGTAGGCTCATAACCTAGTCCCAAGACCACCCCATTCACACGTGGTTTCATGGTGATCCTTGACCATGGATAACCGCCACCAGTCATCCTATTGCTCTATTTGGGGACTCATTCATTACCTGAAGCTACAGAAGAGCTACTGTGGTCCAAAAACTTGAGCACAGGGCTAGGCCCCCTGCTCATGACTCTGCTACTGATACCATGTGTGGCCGTAACTCCTCTCTGTCATTTCCCATCCATAAAATGGTGACATCTTAATCTACGATTGTAACGTATATCAGCATCTTGGATTGCAATGTGCTTATGAGTGCCTGGTTTCATCATTATAACACGTCCTTCTGGACTCCTGGAGGTAAAAGGCTGTGCTTGAAGCATGGCTAAGACTAACACAAACCTTCTTCTTGCTATTACTTGCAGGATGGCTGGCAGGGTTTTGAAGCTGTGTCTTGTCTCTTGGTATCTTTTTAATGAGGCATGAAAAGGCCCCTTCTTAAATGGTGAAGAAATGGTGCTGGTTGGGAATTTTGGCCCTGTAAGCTGGTATGAGGTGTGCAGTGTATGTAGTAGGTTCACACTCCTCCCCGGTGCCCAGCAAGGGTCCTAAGAGCATTAGCTATGAGCTGCCATTGCTGATGTGAGCTAAGCTTTGGGCAAGAAAAAATGCAGCCAGGTTTCCACTTGTGAGGATTACACAAGGACAGCCAAGGAGATGCTAAAAATTAGGCAGGATAATACAATTTAACCAAGAAGGAATGACATTGCCCTCTTGCAAGGGCAAGTGACTGTCTAGAAGAATAAAGGATGCAACAAATGTAGAACTGATTGATGCACGCTGGGCTGGGAGGGACCGGGGCTCTAGAAAAGCAGACCGAGATGTGGTCAGGAAAGTAAAGGAAGGTTTTGTTTTTAATTAAAAGCTCAGCCTGGTTTTAAATGCAGCCAGTCTCCAAGTTGGCACCTGTCACGTTGGACTGGTGTAGTCTGTGCATTATGACCCTGGCTTGAGTCCTGGTATCAACTGAGAAGTCAAGATGAGTCATATGCAAGCATCTGTCAAATCTACAAGTGGTGCTTTTTAAGTGGGTTGATCGGCAAGGCTGAAAAAAATGTCCCCGTCGGGTGTCTTGGCTGTGCTACCACATCACTTCCTACGCTCCAGCAGGGAATCCTTGACAGTCTCCTGGACCAGTTCGATCTCTCTCCCTTCCGGCTGATGGCAAAGCGAGGAAGGGCAATGGTTTAGAGGGACAGCTATCTAAACACAGCTTGCATTCAACGCGGGAAAATCCCAGAAGACGTTCTTGCTTCCACTTCAAGGCCGTGTTCAAGGGGGGTTCTGCAGCGACCTGATTCTCGGGTGTAATATAAATAACTGTGAGCAAGCAGGACTACGGATCTGATTTAAATCTACAGAAGTCACGGACTTGCGTCCTTCGTGAATCCCATCTGACCGGCAGGTAGTTGTGGCCTGGTTTTCTAAAAACACTGAACGTTCACGGCTCTCGTTGAAGCTGCCATCTGGTCTGTTACTTTGCAGACCTGGCGATTAGTTTTCATAAGAGAGTAACTTGAAGGACCCTGGCTAATTGAACTGCCCCGTTGATTAAGCATCACTGAGTCAATGTGTAATGTGGGGAAGGAAGGGAAAAACTGAGGGGTCTTCAGAGCTGCATGCTCTGCTTATAGGGCCTTGTTCAGAGCCATGACCAGGACCTTTCTTTCCTCTGACACCAGTTGCCACGCGATGGGCTGAAAGACAGGGTATTTTAGATTATGGCATTTGCAATGTTTTGTTTGACTGCTTCTATGTTGGGAGGTTGCTTT